TCCTGCCCAAGAGCACACGCGCTCAAGCCTCCTTGAACGGGCTGCCCACCTCTCCGGTGTGCTCTGCAGTCCCATCCCTCCAGGGTTAGAACCCCTATGGATCCTGAAGCGCCACAAAGTGTCCTGAAGTGTCTGGCCTGCAGCCACACCTGAGCACGCTGCTCCCCTGCCTGGACTCCCAGATCCAGCTCCAGTTCTCCAAAGTCCCCCCCAGTCTCCTCCTCATGAATTATTCTGCCACCGGCTGCTCAGACTTGGGGAGCAACTCGCTCAGCCCCGTGCACCAGCCCCGTGCACATGCTAGCTGGCCAAGAGCACTCCCAGGAGCACTCCCAGCCCCATGGACCACAGCCTCCTCAGGGCAGGGGGGCAGGAGCTGCCTCTCCGGCGTCCTGCTGCCCTGGCGCTCAAGGAGCTCACGTGTGCGAAGTTCAGGTTCTGTGTTCTGAGCCCCCACACGCGCCCATGTGCTGCTTCCTGGGGATGCTAATTCAGGGGCAGACCAGGGATGTTCCTGAAAGAAGCTCTTGCTGTATTTTCTGCCCATCTACTTTGGAATACTATTTTTTTCTCAGCAGTCCTACTTCTATTTTTAAAAATGGTTCTTTGAGAGGGCCGAGTGGAACCATCTGCATGGCCCTCCGGGGCAGGGGCTCCCCACAGGCTGCCTTTGTGGGAGGGGAGGTCCTGTGATCCTGGGATCCCTCAGGGCACTTCTGACAGCTCGTGGGACACAGCTCTAGTCACCAGGAATTGCTTCAACTGATTCCTGGAAGTCACTTCCTGTCGCCTGTAGGAGCAGCCAGCATTTACTGAGCATTTACTCCGCGTTCGAAACACTTATGAGGTATTACTTAGCATATTGCATTCAGCTTGCACCTTACTCTCCACGCCGCTCTCCGAGGGGTACTCTTACTGCCCCCATTTTACAGACCAGAAAGCTGAGCATGGAGGAATAGGTAAGCCTACTGCCCGGCAGGGTCAGAACCCAGACCTGTCTGACAGCAGAGCCGAACAAGTCCTTCCACCACTGCGACCTATTCCCCGAAGGTCAAATTCAAGGCACAAGGGGGCTAATGAGGCACTCCTTACAGTTGGCCTTGTAAGAGGGGACCCTCACCTCCCCAGCTGCTCAAATGACCTGCAGTCCCGGAAAGAGGGGCGTGTGTGCTAGGCCCTCAGCAAAGATCCGCCACCCCAGCGCAGCTCTCTTCTCTCAGAAGCCTGCATGGTCTCGAAAGTGGCCTCCGGCCCTGCAGTCTCTCCTCTCCTCTTCCTTCTCTCCTTTACTAGGATTCCAGGGAGACCTTAAGAAAACAGGGATCTAATCATGTCAGTCTTCTGCTTAAAACCATTTCACTGGGGTCAGTAGGTGGCATGGTGGTTAAACCACTGGACTCCCACATGGCCGACCGCAGTTCGAGTCCCAGACCTGGGACTTGCTTTCTCCTTTCCCCCTCTCTCTAGTGAGCACATGTGCCTATAGCAAATTTAAAATAATAACAACAATAAAAACCAAAACAAAATAGCGTTTCACTGGCTCCCGATGCCCTCGGCAGAGTCCTGTATCACTATTGTGGCATTCCCGTGTCAACCTACCACCAAGTCAGCTTCAGACCACTGTACTGAACACTGAGGTCTCCGATGAGCTAGGTCCTTACCTATCTCTGTGTCTGAGCAGAACACCTTCTCCTTCATCTCACCTGAGCCTTACCTCCTCTCCTAGACTCAGGCCCAGCAACGCCTCTGCCATGCCTTCCCTGGGCACCCCGCCCGCCACTCCCACCCAGGCTGAGCTGGTTGGTGCCTCTGCCAGGTCCCACAGCACTCTGTTCTTGCTGCTATGAGCTTTCTTTTTTTTTTTTTGGCCTGTCTACAACCAAACTCATTCCTGGTCCCAGGGCAGGGAGCCGGGGCCCCTGAATTGTGGAGCTTGCTGTGGCAGTCATCTGGCCAGCACCCACCACGGCAGGAATGGGGCTCCACGCGACTAGACCGCAGCTAGCTTTTTTTTTTTTTTCTTTCATGTTGTTCTAGGACGTCGACTAGACCGCAGCTAGCTTTTTTTTTTTTCTTTCTTGTTGCTCTAGGGCATGTGTGCTCGGGGAGAGAGAAAGAACGAGAAAGCACCCCTGCGCCCCCCAGGAGGATGACCTTCTCAAGAACTTCACTCTTTTCTTGGAATTTTGGGACCACAGGCACAGGCACCTGGTGTTTTTCCAGCTGCCGGTCAGGAACTTGAACTGCATCATAACCACCACGCCACCTGGCTGGCCCACTGCTAGCTTCTAAACACCGCATTTCAACGACTTGTTTACAGGTTAGTCCCACCAACTGGACTGTGAACTCTCTGGAATGAGAATATCTAACACTTAATGAACTCCTACTACATAGTGGGCATGCTCGAAGTGTGTTACTTGTGTTAACTTTTTAAATTGTGTGGCCACACCATGTTATCACTCTTGTTTTATAGATGAGGACACTGAGGCACAGAGAAGTTAAACAATGGGCCCAAGGGCGCACAGCCAGAAAGCTACTGAGCCAGAACCGAACTCGGGAATTCTGACTCCAAAGCCAGAGTTAAACACTCACTGTACAGAAGCTGCCTCTCCGGGCAAAGGCCTGCTTACTGTCCTGGGAGGAGTGAGCAAATGAACCAATGAATGAATCTCCATCTGACCCAGCCTAGCGGGCCGGCACAGCAGGGCCACTGAGGGCTGGAGGAGCTCCCCAGCACGGCTTACACACAAGGGTTCTGCCCTGATGACAAGCTCTGCCCTTCCATATCGCATGCAAAACTACTCAGTCAAGAGGGAAAGGCGCCCAGCCCAGCATGACTACCCTCTCCTGAACGTCCTCTTCCCCACTGGTTCTCAAAACCAAGCAAAGCCAACCGGTTTCCTCCAGTGACTTAAAACAGAGCAAAGTCTATCCTGCTACACAGCTCGGCTGTCATCTCTTCCTTCCGCCAATAAAAGGACATAAAACCGGGGAAGGGAGGGTTGGCAGAGAACCAGCGTCGGGAATCCGAAAGCCCCCAGCTACTGACTGGAAGGTGGGGTGTCTCAACGTGGGAATGGGCGGGCCTGCCTGGCACAGGTGAAACTGACCACAGCAGGCGCTCTTCTTGGGGAAGGCCAGACGAAAGTAGCCCTGGCAGGCAGGTAGCTCTGACCCGCATCTGGGCGTCACCTGGGACGCGAAAATTCCCCCAGCAGCTTGGTGCCCGTGGCAGGGTGAGGGCTCCTGGAGGAAGCCCATCCCGGGAACCCGTTCTAACTTCCCAGTCGCTCTGGGGATCAGGAGGGACGCATGGATAGGCAGGGTGTCTCTGCAATAAGCTGGCGGGGTTCAAGCGCCGGGTGCTTCACTTACTGAGTGACTGTGGGCAAGGCTGGCAGTGCCCACCTCCCAGGGCTGAGACGGGGACTAGGGCGCCCGGCGCACAGCTGCTCCCGTCCCTGCCGCCGGCAAGGGCAGACCTCCCAGCACAGAAGGAGGTGCTCGCTGTGGCCGGATGGCCTGGGGCTGTCACCCAGGTCCCACCACCACGGCCGCCGAGGCCCGCCCGGCCAACCCCCAACCCCCCCCCCGCCCCCCCC